GGAGCCGCACATTGTCACCTGCTGCCACAGGGACACATCTTACTAGGAGAATGGATCTGGCCATTGGGAGAGGAGGTCGCTGATGACCTTTCTGGAGAGGACCTAACAGTGCTTATTGTTCAGTCATCCAAACACTGCCTTAGGAAACTAAAGCAAGGTTAGGTGAGAGAGAGAGTTTACTGACTGAGTTGATCAATATGCCTTCTTCATTCAGGTAATAATAATATTAATTTCACTCTAAGAAAATAGTCCTTTCAGCTAAATCATGTTTGCCAAACGGGCCTTAATATGAGACTCACCTGGGGTACTTGTTAAGATCCTGTGGGTCTGGAACCTTTACTGGTTTGTACAGGCACTCCACCTGACTTTTATGATCAGGGGTATTTGTGTTCCTCTAAGCTAGGTGAGCTAGCCATACAGGCAGACCTGGGAGATTTTATGGGTTTAGTTCTAGACCACTGCAATGAAGTGAGTAACACAGTAAGCAAGTCATAATCAGGAGAATATTGTGTTCTGGAAACCGAGTTAAGAGTGTGTTTCATGGTGGGCAGGAGAAGTAGCTGATCAGAGGTCAAGTGAACTGAGACATGACCACGGGGTTTTCAATGTGAAGGTGATAGGTGACTCCGGCAAAAACCTTTTCAGTGGAGTGGTAGAGACAAAAACTTGATTAGAAATAGTTGGATTTGGAGACAGAGTATATAACAACTCTTTCAAAAAATTTGCTCCAAAATGGGCAAGGAATGAATTGGAAACTAGAGGGGGAGAGTGGTTGTTTGTGTGTAATCTGGGTTGGTTTTTATGTTGGAAGAAATCATAGCAGATTGGACTACTGAGAGGAATGGTCTGGTAGAGGAGAATAATTGATCTGGGGGCAAGAGGAGCGATTTGCAGGTGTGAGTCCTCATGTATGCATGAGGGAGAGATCTCTTGCCTAGGTGGAAATGGTGGTGGGGTGTGGGAGTGTGGACTGTTTCCCACAGTAACAGGAGGAGAATACATGGGTCCAGGTGCAGATAAATGGATAGATGTGATGGTGGGAAACGGTCTTATTGGATTATTTCTGTTATTCTCTGAAAAATAGGTAGCATAGTCCCTGAAATGCATGAGCTTGGAAGAGCAGGTGTCAGAAATTTGAGGAAAAATGAGAAATTTAATAGTCAACCTAGGACAGTGGGCAAGTGGATAGACTAGGGAAATGTCATATGATTGTTGAGCATCAGTAATAGCCCCTTTGAGGTTTGGTGATCACAATTAAAGTGAGACCAGTCAGCATGGTTATGTGTTTCTTTAGCCACATCCAACTGCACAGATGCAAGAATGAAAAAAGGCAAAAAGTTAAATTTAATGAGGGTTGGAGTTCTGCCAGTCAAGTGTGACATGCAGGAGAGGAATAGCGGTTGAAGGTGTAAAAAAGGAAGTGCTTAAAATGAAGGACTGTGGAATTTCAACTGGGTAAGAAAGAAGTGAAAGCATAATGGTAGTGAAGGTAGGTAATAGGATCAATATGGTTTGTAGGTTTGGTGTGGTCAGTGGTTTGTAGGAGTCAGCAAAGTAGGAGGTGAGCTGGAAAGGGGTTGTTGGCTCGGGATGGGATGCTTGAAATTTCATTGGGACAGGAAGTTGTGTTTGGCAATGTTAAGGACAAGGGTCTGAACTTGGGAGTGACTGAGGCAAGGTAGACAGATCATGAAACTGAAAGAATTCGTTAATAGTGACAGTAAATCAGGACCTAAAATCCTCATGGAATGGGGCTAGTGACCTGAGGGTCAGTAAACAATTGCTAGAAGGGTAATAGTTGGAATAGTCTTATCCTGAGGTTTTTTAGAGAGGAGAGAAAGAAAGTAGTCTGGGGATGGTGGCAAGGTGCAAGGAATACACCTACCCTATCACTAGACGCAGCGGTCAAGGGTGTGGAGAAAACAGTTATTGCTTCCAAAGCAGTGTTCTCAGGGAAAGCCAGATTTCATTAGAGCAAGAAGGACAGTGAGCATTCAGGGAAGACTTTAGGATTGGGGAAGATAGAAGAGAACAGAGCAGAGAATGTTGAGTTTCATATGGGGATTACAGTGTGGGAATGAGGGGTTCCCTGGTAGTTTGAGACTTTTCATAAGTGATGTAAACAGATAAAGGACACAGTGCAATTGTCTTGGAGGCTAAAGACAGATAGTAGTGGCAGAACAGTAAGTGATATGGGGAGGTGGGCCTTGCTTCTCTCCTGCAAGTAGAAGCCTGGGAGGGGCTGGTTTTCTTTCAAGTGTGTGGAGTAGGGGCTCAATATCTTATATATCTTTTAAACTTTTTCCCATTAATTTTTAAACTTACAGATCATTAGTGATTATCAGCACTTTAGATGGGCGAATTGCTGCCTTGGATCCAGAGAATCATGGTAAAAAGCAATGGGATTTGGACGTGGGATCTGGCTCCTTGGTTTCATCCAGCCTTAGCAAACCAGAGGTAAGAATTTTCATTTAACAGAAAAACTCAGTTGTAATGAGCAATTGCTGATATTAATACTATTTATTTGCTTTTAGAATTGGGGATCAGGGCCCCATTGCTTAGGTGTGAGGCCTGTATGCCTCTTATTATGTCCCCTTGGGGCAATTACTTTTTTGTTCCTCAGTTCCCCTGCTGTAATGAGGTAGATGATATTGATCACCTACTTCTTAGGGTTGTTTTGGACATTAAATGAATTAATCATATAAATGAATAACTAAGGATACTATCTGCTATATCAGTATAGCTCATTATTTGAGCTGTAACATGCTCATTTGTTATTCTCACATAGTCCCTAAATAATAAAATAAATATAAGTAACGTAACTGTGCTTTAATAGTTAGAAATACGAGGGTGGAACAAAAGTAGGTTTACAGTTGTAAGTATGCAAAACAGTTTCTTCTTCTTTTTTTTTAAACATCGGTGTATATTGATTGGTTGTCTCTCACGTGTGCCCTCATCAGGAGATTGAACCTGCAGTCCAAGTGGGTGCCCTTGACTGGGAATCAAACCCAAGACCCTTCAGGGCATGGGCTGATGCCCTAACCACTTAGACACATTGGCCAGGGCCAGAGTTTATTCTTCATTATTTTCTAGCTGAACAACTGTAAACCTACTTTTGCCTCATGCTGTACATACTGCAAAACCTCATAAGTGATTCTTTCTGTACATTTTCCCTCCAGTGTGCATCCTTATTGTAAGCATAATTCATCTGAAATTTTCTTGGAATGTAATTTTAGACAAATTTGGTCATTTGCAAAAAGAGGTTTGCTTCCAGAACTACTCTGCCACGTGACTCTAAGACTTGGGTAGGTGGCTTAGCCCCTCAGAGTGTTAGTGTCCTCATCATGAAAGTTAGGACATTGACTGCCTTGAGGAGGTTAGGGGAATGCATAAATGAGGCAAGTATTTTCTCATGTTTAGTCTTGACTCTGATGGATTAGTCTCTCTTTGCTGGAGCTTTATTCTCCTGTTTAAATTATTTAAAACTGGTGCACAAAATTTGTGCATGGGAGGGGTGCACAAAATTTGTGCATGGGAGGGGTGTCCCTTAGCCTGGCCTGCACCCTCTCCAATCTGGGAACCCTCAGGGGATGTCCGACTTCCAGTTTAGGCCCAATTGGGATCGGGCCTAAACCGGCAGTCGGACATCCCTCTCACAATCCAGGACCTCTGGCTCCTAACTGCTTGCATGTCTGCTTGCCCCTAACCGCTTCTTCCTGCCAGCCTGATCGCTCCCAACTGCCCTCCCCTGCTGGCCCAATTGCCCACAACTGCCCTCCCCTGCTGAGACCTGCCTTCTCCGCCCGAGGTGGTGGAGATGCTGGGACTGGCCTCCTTCATGCCATGTGGAGCCACGGGATCTCTAGGCCTCACCACACAGAGCTGCTGCCTGGCCCTGCTTCTGCTGTGCACATGGTCATCTTGTGACGGCCATCTTATGGCGGCCATCTTGTGATGACATCGCTTGTGAGGGCACAAGGACCACCTAGGCCCGTGGTCGGCAAACTGCGGCTCGTGACTAATGAGTTTGCCAACCACTGGTCTAGGGCAATGTAATACCATTTTGACAAGTGTGACATGATATCTCACTATGGTTTTGATTTGCATTTTATGATGATTAGTGATGTTGAGCATCTTTTCATATATCTGTTGATCCTGTGTATGTCTTCTTTGTAGAAATCTTTCTTCGTGTCTTCTGCCTACTTTTTGATCAGGTTGTGTATTTTTTTATTGAATTGTATGAGTTTCTTATATATTTTGGATATCAACCCCTTATTGGATATATAAGATACCCCAAAAAATGTATAAACACACTTTGAATAATTAAATACATCTCATTTAAAAAATTGGTCTATCAGCTATTAAAGTATATATACATTTTTTGGGACACCCTGTAGTATTTGAAAATATATTCTCCCATTCACTAGGTTGTCTTTTTGTTATGTTGATCATTTTCTTTGCTCTGCAGAAAGCTTTTTAGTTTGATGAAGTCCCATTTGTCTATTCTTGCTTTTGTTTCCCCAATTTCAAGTAGTTTATTACCTATGTTTTATTCTAGGAGTTTTGTAATTTTAGGGCTTACATTTAAGTCTTTAATCTATTTTTAGTTTATTTTTGTGTATGGTGTAAGACAAGCATGTCAAACTCGCGGCCTGCGGGCTGCATGTGGCCCACAACGGATATATTTGTGGCCCAGCCAATATAACTTAATTTTTACAATATCCTGTTATACATAATTATTAATAACTAGAACTACAACATTCGCTAAGGACTGATTAATATAATCATGTTGCATTCATTTCCCCAATGCACAGGCATACCATGTCTCCTCACTAATCCTAGCAGCGAATATTTTAGCAAAAAGCTCACTGGCTACCTTCCATGCAGAAGAATCCCAAGATCTCTTTGTATTATCGAGACTTAAACTTTCTACCTCACAGAAAAGAAAAAAGAAAATCTAAAGTTATTTAACCATTTGTGATAGCATGATGGGTTTACTACATTTTACTGCTGCCCTGAGTTTGTGGAAGCATTTCTTGAGACTGTGTTTACTGTGTAGACATGTTGATGACAACAGCATTGTTCCCAGCAGTGTAATATAACCTGATGTACTGTACAGGTTCAGTAGTGTGATCCTTACAGGGATTTTCCTGAGGTGGGTGTTGTGGGTCTCATTTTGTAGAAGAGGAAACAGGAGCGTGGAGAAATTAATTGCTTGGAGTCGCAAACAGATTAGGTGATAAAACTGGGATTGAACGTAGGCTTGCCTGACTGCATCCCATTCTGCCTGCTCTGGAGCCTTTTCCCTATCTTGTCTGTACCTCTTTGCATAATCTTAGGCTGTTCATCTCGTACAGCGGATCTCAAACTTTATGGTTTCCCTTTACATTCTTAGAAATCATCGAGGTGTCCAAAGAGCATTTTATCCCCCAGATTATATCTGTCTATACTTAAACCATCTTAAAAATTAAAACATAAATTTTAAAAAGACTTATTAATTCATTAAAAAGACCATGGACCCATTGTATGACAGCATAAACAGTATATTTTTATGAAAAAAAACCCTATATTTTCCAATACAAAAAATTTAATGAAAAAAGTGGCGCATTGTTTTACATTTTTGCAAATCAGTTTAATTTTTGGTTTAGCAAAAGAAAATTGAATTTTTGTGTCTGCTTCTGCATTTACTGTGTTGCATTGTTGTTTTGGTTGAACTATATGAGGAAGAAAATCCAGACACATCCTATATATTAAAAGGCTAATATGCAAATTGTCCCCTCGACTAGGAGTTTGACTGGAAGTTCAACCAGGGGATGGGGATTGTGGCCAATCACCCACAGCCCCTCCCTCCAGCCGCCCCCACCTCTGAAAGGCCCCCCATCAGGGGCGGGGCCAGCCAGACCCTACCTGTGCACGAATTTCAGGCAGTGGGCCTCTAGTAAATATACACTGAGTGGCCAGATTATTATGACCACCTGACGTTTGTAGGCAAATAAGCCGTATACTGCATTGTATGGGATATGGAAGCTGAAGGCCTGTTTGAACACCTTTGCTTGTCTGCAATTACCAAAATAAAACATCTCCAATTCGCATAGGAACACAAGGATTGGACAGTTGAGCATTGGAAAAAAGTCATGTGGTCTAATGAATCACGTTTCCAGTTGCATCATGCAGATGGCAGAGTGGGAATTTGGCGGGAACAGCATGAAAGCATGCACCCCACATGCATGAGTATAACCCTTCAAGCTGGCAGGCAGCTGGTAGCACAACCACCAAATCTCACAGAACTGTACAGTGCTATTCATCAGGCATGGTGTCAGATTCCTCGCATCACCTTTCAACATCTAGTCAAGTCAATGCCAAGCAGAATCACTGCAGTATTGAAGGCAAAAGGTGGCCCAACGAAGTACTGATTGGGTGGTCATAATAATCTGGCCACTCAGTTTATGTATATATCCCACATTCAAAGGCTGTTAAATCGCATTGTTTACCCATATCTTCAGAAAAAAATTACTTCTGTCATGGTAAACAACTTGCCTCCCTATTTATAATGGTCTGGCCCTCTAGGAACTTCAGTGTGAAATTATAGCTAATTTGCCTACAAACATCAGGTGGTCATAATAATCTGGCCACTCAGTGTGTGTGTGTGTGTGTACACTAGAGGCCTGGTGCATGAATTCTTGCACAGGGGATGAGTCCCCTCAGCCCAGCCTGCACCCTCTCCAACTGCCTCTGCATTCCGGCCTGATCGCCCCTAACTGCCCCTCCCCCACTGGCCTGGTTGCCCCACGCAGCCTGCTGTTCAGTCGTTTGGTCATCCCTCACTAACCCCCCTGCTGGCCTGGTCGTAGGAAGCCATCTTGTGAGGGTGTGAGGGTTAATTTGCATATTGCCTCTTCATTATATAGGAGGATGTAGGAGTTGGAAAAGGAAGGAGTATTTTTTGTACCCTTTTCAGATGATTTTGGTCATTTTTTTGATACTATATAAAAATAAGTGAAAGGTTTTCTTAAAGGTTAGTTGCACTATGGAATCTCAAACTGTATTGTACATTTTGTACTCTGTTGCATTAACATCCTTTGGTCTGTCTTGCTTTTTCCTCTTGCATGGTTTTCTACCATCATTTGGAAAATATTGATGGAATTACAAAGATCTTTCGAATATTGAAATATTTCCTCATAGAATATTTTAAAAAGCAGATTTATTACTCTCACCCCTGATCTCATCAAAAAAATCTTTTAAGTACTGGGAAGCTGTCAAGCTCACATTGGTGGATACAGGTTTTTCAAAATTCTAGTTTTTGTTAAAACTTGAATTTTATCATAAATGGTTTTGAAGTGAGACATTCACTTTATTTTTGAGAAAATGTCTGGGAAAAGTCAGTCTTATAACCATAGCTTTTCTCTCCAGTGTCCAAGTGAAAATGGAGCTCCATGCTTTCCTCAGATCTGCTTGAG